TAAAGAAATAATTAATTGAGCTTAAGCGAGTTTGCTTAAACGCTAAATAAGTACCTATATTTTGTACTTAACACAAGGTAGAAGACAATTAACTATAACGAACTCCATAGTATTATGATTTGAAAATGGAATCACAGAGCAACGATTTTATTATTTTAATGTATCCCTGAATGAATGACGTCTCACTTTCTTAATGTGACGATTTCAAAACGAAGACAACACGCGCATTCAGCCTACATGGAACTTTTGAATATTTTATGAAATCGCCCACAGTCCACAGATAACGTATACTTGACGTCAATCTTTCGGTTTTCCGGTGGTAAACCGTTATCGTTTAACAATATTAAAATATTTCTGTGAAAGTTTAGTTTGATATGGGAATTAGGTTAATAATCATCGTTGTACTTCTGGAATAGAAAGTTTTAAGAGATGCACTGCCTATGGCTCATCACGCGAACAAAAACAAGTAATCGAAGCACATGATACTTCCTTAAATCTAAAAGTTCAACTACATATTTCAGCAAAAAACTTTTTATTTGTATACCTAATAGTTATATTCATGACAATAACATTAATTTTTCTCGCAGGCAAACATAATCATTGATATTACGTTTAGTTTTTTTGTTGGTTGGATATACCTATCGATCGACGAACCTTAGTATAAGCAGGTAGAAATGAAGTATTTTTTGCGCAACGAAAAACGTGCTTTGTTGCTTGAATACTTTTTTTACTTAGGTATATGTTTTTTAAGGCTTCTATTAAAGTCCGTATAATTCTAATGTTTACAGACCAAGCATAAGGAATTAAAGGTTAAGTAGGTAGCTGTGGAGGGCAATAAATATAGAAACAAGAAACTTTTGCCCATCAGATACAATAAAACTTTGAGTAATTTTCTTCGTAAATCCACGTAATATCATAAAGAAGTAAAATTAGTAAGTTTGTAGTATGTAGGGGGTAATTTTAAGAACCGATGGTCGGATTTCCAAAGCTCTTTTATTGATAAATAGCCACAATATTCCTGTCACCCTATGACCTATGGGAGCCAAGCAGTGGGCGAAACTGCGCGGCAGTAGCTAGTTATATATAAAAGCGCAAAACGACACACGCAGCTGTCGAAAGATTCTGATAAAATCCTGATACAATGTTCGGCTACAGACAGCTCACAGACTTCCCGCGTCATCTCAAGGATAGTTCCTTGGCGCGCCGCCAGTGAGCGCCTATAATTTCTCTTAGTATTATTTATCTGTACCTACATTCATTATATTCTTGTTACTTTTTAGTCTGTGAGTGAGTCAGTTTTTGTTTTTATTACATGTTTTAAAGAAAGTGACAGCCCTTAGCAAGCTGAAATGCAGTTTTTTTGGTATACGTCGCTAGTGTGAGATGTGTTTGTATTAAGAAGACCCTTAGATTAGGAGAAAATAAGCAATTATATCAGGGTAATAGCGGTTTTATGCGATTTCACCCTCTGCTCAGCTTGATCATAACGTGATGTTTTGTAGTCCTATAGCGTTCCTCGATAAATGGACTAACAAACACAATAATAATTGCTAAATTCGAACCAGTAGTTCCGGAGATTAGCGCGTTCGACAAAACAACTAACTCTTCAGCTCTATAATATTAGTATAGATTATTTGAGACTATCTTATTTATTTGAGAGGCAATTTTTTTTAAACACATTCTCCTTAATGACACCCATCTTCTACAATACGTCGACTACCGAAACCTCTCAACTAAAACCTATAGACCAGAACGACAATTCTGAAGCGCGCCAGGCCCTTGAATTTTTTGTTGACAAACTATGATGTCGCTGCGAAAATGGTATATTCCTTTATATTGGATAGATAATAATTAGTCTAAGTAGTTTTATAAAATATCAGAGTAAGCATAATATAATTATATATATTAGGCTGTAATATTTTGTAAGCCTAAGTAATTTTATTTGTAAACATATTTGATATGTAAAAGCACGATGGGATTAACATCGTCACAAAATGTGTACAAAAATCCTTTAAAATAAATGAGATTAAAAAAAAATGTGTACAAAAATCCTTTAAAATAAATGAGATTAAAAAAAATGTGTACAAAAATTCTTTAAAACAAATGAGATTCAAAAAAAAACTATGATGTCACTAAACGTGATTTACATTTATATAACTAAGTTTTGATATGAATAAAATATCAATGGAAAATCATTGTGATTAATGATTAAGTCTCCCTCGAACACAATATCAATTAATGATCATCATTACGTAGTAAAAAATGATTTTATCTGAACTGAAATTTTTATTTTGCGTGGCAATGACGCAGCAGTTTTTTTTACATAAAAAGTGACAAGTTGGTCCAACTATAGTTAACTAATGATACATGTATGTAAGTGTGAAAAAACTAATGAGTTGATCAATGAGCGGACTGTTAGACTTTTTATAAGTAAAGAAATAAGTAGAAGCCATCCCGTTCTTACTTTTACAATTGCCCCGGCTAAGGCCTATGGTTGTATTGTTTAGTCAAGTCCACAACCCCAACCCTGAAGCCTAGACCTACATAACGATAATTTCCTTATTCCTAGACTGTGATTTTTTGTGTCTAGGAAGCACAAGTGAGAACGGGGTTAAGGAAGTGCTACCTAAAAAGATGGCGCAATCAAATGGGTGGGGGCATCCCACAATGGCCGGACGGAATGTAGCATTGCGTCACCGTTTTTCGGGGCTGATATTCTGGCAGAGGGAGGTTTTCTGGTTCGAGGTCAATGTAGCTACTGTGGTAGACGACTTCTAAAAGTAAATTTTATGCAAGTACTAGTGACCCTCATTGGCGCCATGATGATACTCAATTTCTCTACTATTTAATGGGTGTTATTATACATGTCAACCTTCCTATTCAATCGCTATTTCTATTAAGAGAAAACCGCATCAAAATACGTAGAGTAGTTTTTAAAATTTTAGCATACATAGGGGTATAGGGACATAAAAAGCAACTTTACTGTATTTGACTTATAACACGTAGTGCTCTGCTTAACGCTCTTTTTTTAAAAAAAAGGTATTTTACCAAGAGACACACACGTTGAGTGATGAACTAAAATACAAAACTAAACTTAAACAACATTCGTGTGATAATTTTTTGTGCTAGTCACGATTTATTTCGGTACCTACTTCGAGTTTATCCGAATAATTTCGAATTAGAACGGAGCTAGTACACGCCTACATGCATGCGGTGATCACGCAGCGAGTTTGTGTGCAGATGTGTCGAAAACACAAGTGTTGAGATACAAGAATGAGTTACATGCAAATGTTTAGAAATATGGCCGACCGCGATGATAAAATATTCTTAAATTGCGAGGAATAATGTTGACAGATCTTGTCTATCTAAGTTTTACTGAAGAGATTGTAGACTCATCTCTGAATTATTTTACTATGGAATTTGTGTTATGCCTGTATTATGGTACGTATGGATTATAGTTAAAAAATTGCTGTAATAAGACGCATTTTAGTTAAATTTGGACTAATATTATAGAGGTAAATTTTGTAAGAGGGATTAACAAAATTCTTTCACTGATAGATAGCTTTTTAGCTATCTCATAAGTACTATAGGTTATGAATTTTACTTGATTTGCGTATTTTAGTCGACTCATCGCTTTAAACGTTGCTGTTTTTAAAATCCCAGAGTACCTACATTACTTTTATACGCGTGCGAAGCCGTGATCAGAATCTAGTTCAGCCGGGGATGCGGGGTAAGCGCAATGAGGCACCGCGACCTCGGCACAGAGCAGGAGAAGGAACGGGGTGTTATTAGTCAGTAAGAGTCTGACACTCCCTCCCGCCCTGCCCTGGGCGGGAGAAGTCATTTGATGATTTTCCCCTCACAAAAAAACAAAAAAAGTCTTATAACATATTTGGAATCCTTTGCTTGGTGTTCACCTATTCACAACGCATGATCAAGAATCCAACTTGTTTAAGCAAAAATTAAGCGTCTATTTCGTATTAAAATTTTCACTTTTTCCCAATGCGATAAAGGTCTTTGACTCTGCTTACGTCACTAAAGTAACCGGATTGAATATATGTCGAATAAATTATACTACGGTATCACTCATACATATTTACAATTTTAATAAAACATTAACTTAATGTTTATTAAGCGCGAAGTAGCGATTAATTTATATTATTTAATTCTTAACCTTTCTATGTCTATTTATTTTGTTCTAGATTGTTCTATTTAAACAGAAAAAAGAACGCAAAAAGCGTTCGAAATCGTTTGAAAATTAAAGATTACCATAAAGTAAAAAAAAGTTTTAATAGGAAAAAGTTTCAATGCGGCATTTTATTGAGCTCATCGACCGATGAAATACGCGAGTAATATTTTTTATTGCAAAACAATATTTTACTTATAGCTTTGTCTGATTATTAAAAACTATAAAATTTTAGCAAGAACGAATAAAAAAATATTAAAACCCACATGAAATTACTACAAACACACCCTATTTTATTAACATTGATTAATTATATGAACTTATCAATACACTACGATATCAGATCGTGATTCATTTGTTTTTAATTTTTATAAATTATTACACTGCAGAACAGCGAACAACCTTCTATGACGGACAGAAATACCAATAATGATTGTACTGTAATTTGGAATAAATTGAAATAATTGTTTTGACTTTGATATTACCGTTGGATTATTTATGGCAGGGTAAATTCCTTACTTGGAGTGTTTTAAAAAGTTTGAGAACAGGATTTTGTGAGTAAAAATTTATTAAAAAAAAAGTAATCATTATTTATTTTATAGTGCCAGCTTATCTTATCTATCTTGGCATAATTCAAAATTAGTTCAATTAAAGTATAAATAAAATTGGAAATGTATTTTTATGCCGTTGTAATTAATAACAGTATCGACAAAAAATATCAATTTCGAAAAGTAAACCTAATTATAGCGAAGTTTTTAAATTAAAAACGACAACGCGAAACAATCATTATTAACTAAAAAAGTATAATACATACCCAATTAAACTAATATTCAATTCACACTTATACACACACTTCACTCAAATAATTAATAAAAATGAAAACGATTATTTTAAAACAATTTTATCGCGAGTGTACGGAGCGGAGCTGAGTAAGACGTGCGCTCTCTAACACGGCTACGCGGCAACTGAACATTACACTGGCAACTGGCATTGATATCCGATTCTTAATTTAAACAATACAGCGGCGTGCACTGCTGCCGGTCGAAACACGTGTTTTACACAGTTTTAGGCGTGTTTTCAGATGTAAACGTTGATTAACTGATGTATTAAGTGCATTTCTACTTATGTATATGTTTTCGAGTCCCGATGTTGAGGTCAATAACCTGTTTCTTAATAGGTATAGCACTTTTTAAGTGTGGGAGAGCCAAGTTTGGGCACGAATGGGCCGGCTTGACCGCAGTGATACCACGGCCTCAAAGAAGCCCAGCGTAAAGCAACACTTACATACGTTGCGTTTCGCCAATGAGTGTGGTTACCGGAGGCTTAATTCTTCCCTCTTCCCATACCCGATCCTTAAATGCCTAATAGCCCACAAGAAGCCGGCAACGCACTTATAGTAACTCCTTTGGCATTGCGAGTGTCCTTATAGTAACTCCTATGGTATTATGAGCGGCGCCGAGTGCTTACCACCAGGTAATCTAGTTTTCGCACCTATGACATAAAAAACCTGTCATTTCTAGAAAGGAATACGCAAAAGTATACTTTATTACCTACACATGTATTCTCCAACAGCATCTAAGTGTCCATAGGACTCTTCTTACACGCAGAAGGAATGGGGATTAATCAACACCCTTGCTCAAGGCGGATAAGCGAATAAAAACTTATTATTCCATAATATGGCTGTAGTGACTAAATACTCTTTTACTTAAGTTCCATTCATAAGAAGCAGGCGTGTGTGGGTGATTTTTATCAATACGGTCGGTGAGCTTTGCCTCTGATAAAATTAATGACACATCAATTCAATAATTTTCTTTTCATTGAAATCGATTTCACTTTTTGTTTTACAGCTTTTTTATAGCATGATATATTTTATTATGTCATAATCCAAGATAGACTGACTGTAATGTGTAATATAGGTAGGTACTTTATTTTTATCAGAAGCTTCAGAAAAAATATTTGAATTTTATAATTACCATGATAACAGTGGAAGGGTTTTAAAGGGGTTCAGTTTCTGTCCACTTACTCGGTCCACCACACCATGCAAATCGGCCTATTATCAATATTTGACACGCACTAAAAGTTTGGTTGTAATATTTTAGAGAACTATCGACATCGTCTTCCTCGAATGGATAAAGAAGTATGTTGTTAAATCAAATTCAAGGTATATTTCGAATTAGCAAAATTGTCAGTTTTCCATGTATTTTGTACGGGATTATTTCTTAAAAGTAAACTATAATAAATACAGGAGCTTTACGTAAAGTACGTAAGTACGTGACATGTTATGTGTTAACTTAATGAATTGTGTTTTTTTTTTATAAATTTCATTATAAGCATTGCAATAGTCAATATAATTAAAGTTTGACCATGTACCGAAATACCACGTTTACCTGCCGAGCGTGGCATTTATAGCCACACAGATTGGGATTGTGATCCTTTCTTAAAATTTCCTTAAAGAGCCAAAGGAATATTACAAGTGGCCCATTTTTATCTGGTGTTCCTAGGCAAGCGGAGTAATGTACCGCTAACTCCTACTGGAGCAGGAGAAAGAACAGGGTGGTTTTTAGTCAATAAGCGTCTGACACTCTCTTGTAGCACTGAGGACGAAAGAAGTCACTTGATGAATTTCTCCTCAACAAAGTCTATGGTTACCAGAGAGCTCCTGCCCGATCGCTGTCAAATCTGTATTCCCTAAGTCGCCTCTTACGCCACCAAGCGGGAAGAGTAGGTACAAATATACTCTTTTTTATAGTCATTACACGGCTTCTTCATGTACATAGGTATATACAGGAAAACGTGTCACGTGGATAAACATGTGTCCCCCACTTAACATCGAGTGGGTTGGAGATTGACTAATTAATAGCTCATTTCAGATCTACGTATAAGTAAGCACTTATTTAAACATGGGTTCTAATCACATTGTTATGCCTGCTTTGTATTCAAATTAATTGCTAATTGTAATTCAATCTGATAAGTGCAGATTGGTTATCTGATAGATAGATTAAAAAAATGGGATTTGTTTTTTGTTTTGGCCATTTGGAGTGTTTGAGGGCTGATTTTGTCAATGGTTAGATAAAATTATCTGTGGAATAATTATGATGCTGTCGCGTCAGAACGTTTGTATAAGACAATGACAGCCACAATTTTATTTGCTCATATAACATTTATTTGAGTAAAACCCTGTAATTCCAACTTCTTAACGCATGTGTTATTTAAGCCCGAAATGACACATGGGTTGGAAAGTAGGAATTACAGGGATTTTAATGGCACATAGCTGATAATGAGGAGAAAGTTTTATTAATGGTACCTACTGATTTCACAATCATATAATTACTCATCATTTTATTTATCTGTTGGAGTGTATTATTTGCTTTCCTTGATAAGGAGGCTCTCCTAAAGCTATCATAGTATCTTCCGCGGGGTCTTTCAACAGACTCAAACATTTCAATTCAATAATTCAGTAGTTTTCTAAAGCATTTCATTTGACGATAGACATGTTCATTTAATCTTTATCATGGGTGTCTTAGCGTCAATTTAAGACCTCCTACAGAAGCAGGAAAAGGAACAGGATGCTTACATTCCTTACTTAGGGCGGGAGAAGTCATTGCATGAATTTTCACCAAAAAATCACCGGAAACACTGACTGAAGTCAAAGTCAAAATAATTTATTCCAACTATACCATAAATAAGTACTTTTGAAAAGACCAAATAGAATTAGTATTCTGCTAGTCTCTTCGTCAGTGAAGCCATGTGCTCGTTCCAAATTGTAAATTCGAATGGAGAAGAATGAGAAGGAAACTACACGCTTACTCCTTTTCTAAAAAAAGAGTAACTACGCTCTTAATACCATTACCAAGGCCTTTAACCCATTAGCAATAGCGATGTGGTTGGTTGGAAAGGTTCCAAATATAGTGAATTTGTAAGCACAATGTTGAATGACCTTTTTTATACCTAGAATGGGCAAGAACCACACAGAACTATACATTCACAATCTCCTTTCGTAGATTGGAAAGTGTCGCTCTCTACAAGCATTCAAGGTTGTTGTGTTGCAATTTACGTTGCATTTCTTGAAGTTTCTAGTAAGTAGAAGTTAATGAATGGAGATAATTATAAACTGTAACGCAGTAACCCGTAGTATGCTGATTAGTTATCTGTTTGGCCTTTAGACTAGTATCTGTGTAAGGGCAACGTCATTCATGCTTGCTTGGATTTCTTGTGAGAGTTTCCACCCATAAAATTCTTGACAGTTTCTATCTATACTTATAGTAAGTATTATAAAAAGGTAACATTTGTCTGTTTTTATGTAGGGGGTAATCTTTGGAACCGCTGGTCGGATTGCCAAAATTCAACTATGTTCTGGAGTGCTAAAGGCTAAAACATCACGCTACGATGAAATGGAGCTGAGCAGCGGGTGAAACCACGCGGGAATAGCTAGTTGATGATATTTTTTATGTCACACGGCAGCAGACGAGTAAGCAGATAACCTGATGGTAAGCAACTAGTGCCGTCTATAGATTCTCGTATGACTAGAGAAGTTGCAAGTGCGTTTATTGCCCTTTTGGAATAAGGAGTTTTGGAAATAAGGAGTTTTCCTATAATGAAGCTTTTTGCCTTTTGATGTATGATGATACACGTGATAGCATAGTCTACTAAGCACGGAAGGTTTTTTAAGGTGTATCAAACTTACTGACTGAACACCACCCCGTGCCTTCGCCAGCTCTTAGTAAGGGCTAGGCACACCATTAAACTCATATCATACAATCGGCATCAGTAACTCGGAACCTAAGAGATTGTTTTGAAAAACCCTCTACATTAAATGGGACTAATAAAATGTTAAACGTACACATCTATCTTCTACTTGGAGTAATAACACTCACAAAACAAGAAATTGAAGAAACTGTCTCCATTGAACATCGTTCCATGTGACAAGATGGTAGACGGACAGAACTAATTGCTAATGTCTGCACGTTCCGCGCATTAGACGATTACCAGAATAGACTTTGACGCATCTCATAACGATCTGGGATTAATTCAAGTCTGGGACACGAATGTACTGAGGATGTAGCCTTGAGAAATATGACATGTCCTTAAAATAGGGTGTTTCTATGGAAGAAAGTTATTTTAGTTACTGTGACTTCGAAGTGCCCCGGCTTGATGACTAAAGGGTTAATTAAAGACAAGGTTTTTTAAAGAATAGGAGGCAAACGAGCAGCCTTATCTCCTGATGTTAAGTGATCAGCGCCGTCTATGGATACCTGCAGCACCAGAGAAGTCACAGGCGCGTTGCCGGCCTTTTGCAGGTTTGAAGGTTTGAAGGTCGTGTAGATCCCAGTGTCGGAGGAAATCATAGACATAATATTTTTGACGATGTTTCAAATAAGGACTAAATTTCAATATTTAACTCAATGAACTCACTAACCGATATAGTTATGTCTTAAGTCGTAAGTATCTTAATTACTTGTTCAATTACCGAGTAATTTTCCTAATAGAAAAGCACTGATATGAGGACAGTACCCACTAAGCACATACAAGTTATTACATGTCACGTCCTGTTTAAGTTTTATAATCTTTAGTTCAATATGCCAAGTCACCGAGCTCACGTCACCCCATAGCGTGGTGTCAAAACAAGTCAGTTCTTGTCTCATATTGGATCTTATATCATAGATAAGGTATCAAAATACTCGCCTATGATATAAATGTTAATTAATTTGTGCAATCTGATATAAATAGATATCATTCAACAATCTATTCATATTGTTTACCTAAAGATGATATAGCAAAAAGTTTTTTTTGGATTGATTTTTGGAATAAGATTATAATATGAGGATAGGCGTCAAGGTCACGGTCATCAAAGTCATTAATTAAAGAAATGAATAGATGTATCTTTTACCGTGATTTTCTTTCTTCGACAATTTTTAGGTCAAAGCATTTATTTTAATTAATTTCTTCTTTTTTATGCAATCTTAGGCAAACGAGCAGACGGATCACCTGATGGTAAGTGATCGGCTCCGCCCATGGACACCTGCAGCCCCAGAGGAATCACACGT